CTTTGTCTTAACCTTAGATTATGAATTTCTCCATGCCTGCGAAAACTTTTCTCCCCGTTGATTATGTACATTGTGACGGTTAGCGTGTATGCTTTTTAACTGAAATGTGAGCTCCAGTGCTTGCAAAAGTTATACACAATACACAATGCGATCACTGGTGTCTTCGATTCATCCTGAAAGTAAACTGGCGGGACAGGGTCTCAAACTCGGACCTCGGAAATCAATACCACGTTGCCCGTCTCTCAACGCGCATACAACACCGCCGACTTCAATGGCTGGGCCGTGTTCTCCACAGACCTGACAACACTTTTACGAGTATTGTCTTGGCTCCGACACCATGTCCTGGCTGAGGCCGCCGACAAGGGAGGGGGGCAAGTAAAAACCTAACTGGACACTGTATTCGAAGACATCGACCAAATTGGTCTTCGGATGGTATATGGCACTCGTCGATAGAAAACAAACTGGCTTAACATTTGCCAGGATCTTGCAGCCAACCGCCAAGCATGGATAGCGCCCATCAGAGGCATTCATGGGGCCGGCTTATCCTTTCCAAGGAGCCAGCCGTAGTAAATTAAAGTAAGCATGATTGGATCTACGGCTGTGAAAAGCCATCCCGTGTAGCTCTCAGCCTCATGGAGGCACGCAAGCCATCACGCTAAAGTGCAGTCTCTTCGTGATGGACCTAAAATGCAGTACAGAGTTGGTAACGGTGTGTCATAAATATGCCGTCAAACTATACGGCCATTCGGTAGCATCTTGAAGTACAGCCGAACCACTGAATGGATACGTTGACTTTCGTTTTCTTAATTTACCATACTGACATATTTGCAAAATGTAGTCTCCAATCCAATCACGAAAAGAAGAGGGATAAACAAACAACCGCAGCCTGTTAAGTAAAAGAGAACAATGTATGGATTCAAACCTTGAATAATAATTAAGAAAAACACATTGTAGGCATTTGACTTTATCGTTTAGATATTTGCATTAAAGGAGAAACGACATTCAGTGTGAAGCAGGTGACCCTTCTATCACAAACAGAGGACATTTAGCCGGATTAGGTTAGATTAAAAATTTATGAGTAACTATCGATGCAAAAGGATCTGGATATCTCATGTATTCTTGTGATTATTGGTATTGACAAAGAATCCTTTGAACGGAGACCAAAATGACCTAAATTACCATGATATAGACAAATTGGTTCATACCGAAAGTGAATAACAAGTTCTGTTCCTCCTTTTGTTACGAGTTTGCCCCTTCAGAGTGCAATGATTCTACAAGACTAGGCAGGTTTCAACAACCTCTGTTCTGACACGGTGTAATGGACCGCGGTTGGTTGTCTAGGAATTTATGGGATTAAAAACAAAATTAAATTAATGCAGTGAATTTTGCGTCTATCCAAAGCATATACAGCATAAACCAAACAAAACAGTGTTGCGGTGGACTTGACGTTCAGCTGGAGAGGAAGCCTTGCATATGTTTCATTGTGCAATCAGTGCTGCTTTGGGGATTTTGCATTTAGAGGATATACAGCGCTGTTTGGCTTAGATGGAATGGAGAAAATGGGGCCCCAACAACAAGATAAACTATGATACATTTGGTGGTGTCCTAGTAGGAAGTGATTTGTGAATTCGCTATAGCAAGGACACATACCAGAAAGGTGTACGATAACGTAGGTATCTCTCGTTTTCTAAGCTAGGGTTCAAAAGGTTGATTAACTGGTAGATGTGAAATACCAAAGACTCCAATAACAAGAAAGTTCTTGATGTCACTTCTGATCAGATCGGAATGCTTAAGAAGGCTGATATATGCAGAGTTAAACAGTTCGCTCAGTGTTAATAATAAAGTTCTTTTTCCTTTTCTCAAGTCACGCTCATTTCCTTCCCTCCTTGAGCAATTATACTCCCTTTATATGCACTCTGAATATGCTAGCGACCGTCCAAGTTCACTTCACTGCATTACATTTTACGATTTCCGTAGAAATTTTCGTAGAAAACCATCTTGTTCCCCTACGAAAGCATCGTTTATCTCAATGCTCGAACTAAACGCTACTTGATCAATATTTTTTCGGTTTTCAGTTGTTAGACATTCAACAACCCTATTCGGATCCACAGTATGTCTGCATTTCAGGCGGCATCAAATTCGTCAACCGCTCTAAACTCCGAGGGCAATGTTACCACGAGTAACTACCCATATCTGACTGATCTGAGCACAAATGGTCAGGGGGACTCGTTGGTACTCGGACGTGGAGAATTAGTCGGACTTGATCTCAACTCAGATGAACTGAATTTGCAACAATTTCGACATCTAACACACTTGGATCTTTCTCGAAACCGGCTGAATTCAACCACATTTCTGCGTGACTTACCTGAACTAAGTAGATTGGACTTGTCCTACAACCAGATCAAGGAAATTGACGGAGTTTTGCATTGCTCACATCTCGAATGTTTACGAGTGGCACACAATCTACTCGTGAGCATTCCTAGGTTGGAAGTGTTGCCATTTTTACGCGAATTGGAACTGAATGATAACCACATAAACTCTATCCAAGGTTAGTTTTATTTTAGATTGCATCGGTGTCTTGGATGTTGTGGTTTATCGACGACTCTTGGGAAAAGAAATGGTCCCTTAATCGATCATTTTACAAGACACGCCGTTTATTATCTTGAATTATCCTTAAAGATCGAATGATTTCAGATGTCGGACCATTTCGACAACTTTTCAACTCCAATCGTTTACTCTGAGCCACACCGGGGGTCACACTGAGACTGACCAGATATATCAGTTCGTGTTTGTTCACATGTCGTCTTAAGAGATTGTCAGTCATTTCTTTTGACTCAGCAAAACAGTGGTAACACATGCCTTTCATGCAATGAGTCTAGATTTCAGATCCCAGGACGGGGTAGAGGATACGCACTGATGATGAGCTCGAATGAGAGTGAAATTTTAGTTTAGTGCTTTCCTTTTGTATAGTTAACTATAATAACTGAGGATTGTGCGAGGCGGAGTCGGAAGGGTAATTAGTTAAAACAAATAACATTTGATTTACTGTTCGACTCAGGGAATTCAATATCTTGACACTTAAATACAATGCGTGCAAAAAATCAATTATTTCGTTGACCATTCGCAGAACAAGAATAGCGTATAGCATTCTGCAGACAAACAAAAAGCACCTGATGGACGCATGACCCTATCATAGTGGAACACACAGTACTATATCTCCGATCAGTTGTTGAAAAGTGAAATGCTGCAAGTGTGGATCGAATCAGCGATCAGTGTGTTCTGATTTACATGGCATCATAGGTGAGTGGACTGCTGACAAATGAGTCAGCTGTCATTTGGTTGAGCCAACGGTTGCACCACGGGGCAATCGCTCCTACGGTTGCACCCACCTTTTTAAATACCCCGTAGAGAACGTAAAGCACCAAAAGACTGAATAGATAGCTTTCTATGTGGATCGAGAATACTGTTGAAGCTGGAAGACAATGAAATTATAAAAACGTTCGGTTTTTTATTTCATTTCACGATGGAATAGGTATTACTGAGCAGAAACTGTCCAATATGATTTCTGTGGATGAAACTGTTGCGTTTTTGAGCCGGAGAGCGCCGGCGAGGATTGATCAGGCGGATGTCTCATGAAGCTACCTTGTGTAGTACCTGCATTTTGAAAGCTTACCTGGATGACCGGTAATTCCCACCTCTCATCACTCATCTTTACTCTAAATACGTGAAAATAATCTCCGATATTCGTGTTAACTCCATTTTACGGGTTTTCTAACTGTTTGGTAGAGTCTCGCGATCGTCAACAATACAAGTTCATGTGTCTGAATAATATCTCCACAGTTGAATAAATACAGACTATTATTTATCATACTGAACTGAAGACTGCAATTTTCGACAGATTTCTTGAGGAGTGTTCTTCAGAAGTGTCAGCTCAACAACCAAATACCCAAGCGGTATTTCTTACTGATAGTAATTCGGTTCACCAACGGGAGGATGAGGTAAATAGTTTTATATCCCATTTTTAATCCGACTGAGAAACCATACAAAAGAACAATGATAATTTTTTTAGGAGTACGAAGATAAGATTTAAAGCGTTCGGAAGATCAAGCCATCCAAGTGCACCAGTTTAGATTTGTTGTACATCTATAGATGTACACAAATGTACACACAGATGTATACAAATAAGCAATTAGCCAACTTTCACCTACCTCATGTGCTGCATTCGACCAATGCGATTTCACTTTGATCGAAGCTTGAAAAACTATTCTGAATTTTGAACTCAGATTTCTGAACATTGAAGTTATATTTCACAATGAAACAGAAGAATCCGCCTTGTGTACAAAATTTTCAATAGAATCTAGCTTGGATGTCACAAAACAGGTCTAATTGAAGCTTCAGCTGTTCTGTGGCCTCACGCGTTAGGGCTATGTTGGAAAGGACTGGACAGCGGGTGTTAAAGTACATTCAATAGCCATAAGATGGTACACTAAGGCTACTCAACGATCGTCAGAGATTACCAAAAGATAGCCAATTGATAATAAACGACGAGAAAACCAATGATGTCGTCACGTTTAAGAAACCACCCCAACCCCGCATTTTGGGTTCGTGGTAATCCACAACCGCAACAAGGTCCAATTTTACGTTTATTTGTGAATTTACTATCTGCAGTTTGTACTCCTGGCCCATGCTTCATCGGCATTTTGGCTTTCAAGCACTGTTGGGGTTGGAGGTTGATCGTCTGTGTTCGATTTGTCTTAGTTTCATATAGCAGAAAGCTTTCATTGGATTTTGGGTAGATCACTTTCGAGGATTGTGTCTGACACGTTGCACTGTATTTAGTTCAAT